ACATGTTCGCGGTTCGCTGCGAACTGCAGTTCCCTTTGTCTTGCGTCGTCTCTGGTTATCTCATCGTAGGACATGCGATGATCTCGCATTCCCAGTGCTGACCCTCTCATGACGGGTGCTTGTGCTTGTTGTCCATGGTGTTTGATTCTTTCTAACATGTCACTCCTAAATGCTTCAGCAGACGCACTGCTGATCATGGACGGTTGATGTGCAGATTTCATCGACGCGACTTCAGACCTCATGTCTTGCATCTCTTCTTTCATCTTCATCATCTCCCTCATTTCACGCATCATCGCGTTGGGAGTGATATCTTCCTCTTTCTCCACCACCTTCCGCTGTGGTGAACTCATAACCTATTGGACTTTTAACTAGCTCGATACGCTTCCTATGCGCAAGAGTGCTGAGGTAAGGGGGTGGAAAGTGGAGGGACCTGCTAGAACGAGAACAAATATGCAAGTGACTGTATGTATGTTATCCTATGCAAGTAGTTTCGTAACCACTGTTTGAAGCCGACTGTTCATTTAATCGGGTCAACTTCCAACAGGTTTGTCTTGTGATAAGATGTAAGTAGACTTAGTCACTTACTTGGCAATGCAATCTTTCAACGCTGAGACTATGTTATCAAAAGCAATACATCAAATTTTCACATCAAGAATTGTCTCATCATTGGTTAAGAAATTGCGTCACACCACCATGTTCGCTCAAGTACGCCTGAAACTCTCCCTCTTACCTTCCACATTTCAGAATCTACCGGCTTGAGTTAATATGGTGAAGCTAATTTGTGCAATGTTGGTGCGGCAGGTAACGCGTTCGAAGTGAACATTGACAATACTGCGTCAGTCGCGGCGTTGAAGAAGGCAGTAAATGCGAAGAAGCCGAACGATATGAAGGGCATCGACGCAGACAGATTGGAGCTCTATATAGCAAAGACGGAGGGCGGCGCTTGGTGTCAAGCCAATCAGATGACGTGAAGAAGCTTAAGAAGGGCGAGAAGACAGCTTTGATCGAAGCTCTGACACATAAAGACAATGAACTTGATGGGACATTTGGCCTCGAAGACTATCTCGTGGGTATGCTAGAGCCGAAAACCAGGCAAATCCACGTGCTGGTGGTCGTTCCGAGGCAAGAGCAAGAATCTGTAGCACTTGGTGCGCAAGAAATTGGTGCCAAGCGCGTTCGAGTAGATGAATGGTTCGTCGATGAAACATTTTCCGTCCAAAAGAAG